TCAAAATGTTTTACCAGAACCATCATATGTCAGGAAAACACAAGCATGAAGCAAACCATGCTTTAATCAACGTCACGACCTGTTTTACGACTTCGGAAGAGAAAAGAGTCGGCTCTTTCAAGCGCAATTTATTTTTTATGACATAATATTTTCCATTTCTCTCCACGATATTGACTAACTGATGCAAGGCATTTTCAAATCGAAAAAATATCATATCTCTTAGATAGGGGACAAAAATATTTTGGATGCAAACTTCATTTTATCCTGATAATAATGTTTCATTGTTCGCTGTCCCATTTAATTGATGGTCTTGTATCATCCTAAATATTCTAGTTTTGGGAAAAGCATTTGTACCTTTTGTTTTCAGCATATCAAAGACAAGTATACGGACATTGAAACGCATCAAAATGTTTTACCAGAACCATCATATATCAGGAAAACCCATGCATAGCATATCAAAGTCGTTTATACGGACTTTGAAACGCATCAAAATGTTTTACCGGAACCATCATATGTCAGGAAAACTCAAGCATGAAGCAAACCATGCTTTAATCAACGTCACGACGTGTTTTACGACTTCGGAAGAGAAAAGAGTCGGGTCTTTCAAGCGCAATTTATTTTTTTAGAACATAATATTTTCCATTTCTCTCCATGATATTGACTTGCTGATAAAAGGCATTTTCAAATCGAAAAAATATCGTATTTCTTAGATAGGGGACGAAAAAATTTTGGATCCAAACTCCATTTTATCCTGATAATAATTTTTCATTGTTCGCTGTCCCATTTAATTGATGGTGTTGAATCATCATAAATATTCTAGTTTGCGAAAAGCATCTGTAACTTTTGTTTTCAGCTTATCAAACACGATTAAAAGGACTTTGAAACGCATCAAAATGTTTTACCGGAACCATCATATGTCAGGAAAACACAAGCATGAAGCAAACCATGCTTTAATCAACGTCACGACCTGTTTTACGACTTCGGAAGAGAAAAGAGTCGGCTCTTTCAAGCGCAATTTATTTTTTATGACATAAAATTTTCCATTTCTCTCCACGATATTGACTAACTGATGCAAGGCATTTTCAAATCGAAAAAATATCATATCTCTTAGATAGGGGACAAAAATATTTTGGTTGCAAACTTCATTTTATCCTGATAATAATGTTTCATTGTTCGCTGTCCCATTTAATTGATGATGTTGTATCATCCTAAATATTCTAGTTTTGCGAAAAGCATTTGTACCTTTTGTTTTCAGCATATCAAAGACAAGTATACGGACATTGAAACGCATCAAAATGTTTTACCAGAACCATCATATATCAGGAAAACCCAGGCATAGCATATCAAAGTCGTTTATACGGAGTTTGAAACGCATCAAAATGTTTTACTGGAACCATCATATGTCAGGAAAACTCAAGCATGAAGCAAACCATGCTTTAATCAACGTCACAACGTGTTTTACGACTTCGGAAGAGAAAAGAGTCGCGTCTTTCAAGCGCAATTTATTTTTTTAGAACATAATATTTTCCATTTCTCTCCATGATATTGACTAGCTGATAAAAGGCATTTTCAAATCGAAAAAATATCGTATCTCTTAGATAGGGGACAAAAAAATTTTGGATCCAAACTCCATTTTATCCTTATAATAATTTTTCATTGTTCGCTGTCCCATTTAATTGATGGTGTTGAATCATCATAAATATTCTAGTTTGCGAAAAGCATCTGTAGCTTTTGTTTTCAGCATATCAAAGACGATTAAACGGACTTTGAAACGCATCAAAATGTTTTACCAGAACCATCATATGTCAGGAAAACACAAGCATGAAGCAAACCATGCTTTAATCAACGTCACGACCTGTTTTACGACTTCGGAAGAGAAAAGAGTCGGCTCTTTCAAGCGCACATTATTTTTTTAAAACATAATATTTTCCATTTCTCTCCACGATATTGACTAACTGATGGAAGGCATTTTCAAATCGAAAAAATATCATATCGCTTAGGTAGGGGACAAAAATATTTTGGATGCAAACTCCATTTTATCCTGATAATAATGTTTCATTGTTAGCTGTCCCATTTAATTGATGGTGTTGTATCATCCTAAATATTCTAGTTTTGCGAAAAGCATTTGTACCTTTTGTTTTCAGCATATCAAAGACAAGTATACGGACATTGAAACGCATCAAAATGTTTTACCAGAACCATCATATGTCAGGAAAACCCAAGCATAGCATATCAAAGACGTTTATACGGACTTTGAAACTCATCAAAATGTTTTACCGGAACCATCATATGTCAGGAAAACCCAAGCATGAAGCAAACAATGCTTTAATCAACGTTACGACGTGTTTTATCAGTTCGGAAGAGAAAAGAGTCGGGTCTTTCAGGCGCAATTTTTTTTTTTAGAACATAATATTTTCCATTTCTCTCCACGATATTGACTACCTGATGCAAGCATTTTCAAATCGAAAAAATATCATATCTCTTAGAAAGGAGACAAAAATATTTTGGATGCAAACTATATTTTATCCTGATAATAATGTTTCATTTTTCGCTGTCCCATTTAATTGATGGTGTTGTATCATCCTAAATATTCTAGTTTTGCGAAAAGCATCTGTAGGTTTTGTTTTCAGCATATCAAAGCCGATTATACGGACATTGAAGCGCATCAAAATGTTTTACCGGAACCATCATATGTCAGGAAAACCCAAGCATAGCTGATCAAAGACGATTATACGGACTTTGAAACGCATCAAAATGTTTTACCGGAACCATCATATGTCAGGAAAACCCAAGCATGAAGCAAACAATGCTTTAATCAACGTTACGACGTGTTTTATCAGTTCGGAAGAGAAAAGAGTCGGGTCTTTCAGGCGCAATTTTTTTTTTTAAAACATAATATTTTCCATTTCTCTCCACGATATTGACTACCTGATGCAAGCATTTTCAAATCGAAAAAATATCATATCTCTTAGAAAGGAGACAAAAATATTTTGGATGCAAACTCTATTTTATCCTGATAATAATGTTTCATTTTTCGCTGTCCCATTTAATTGATGGTGTTGTATCATCCTAAATATTCTAGTTTTGCGAAAAGCATCTGTAGGTTTTGTTTTCAGCATATCAAAGCCGATTATACGGACATTGAAGCGCATCAAAATGTTTTACCGGAACCATCATATGTCAGGAAAACCCAAGCATAGCTGATCAAAGACGATTATACGGACTTTGAAACGCATCAAAATGTTTTACCGGAACCATCATATGTCAGGACAACCCAAACATGAAGCTAACCATGCTTTAGTCAACGTCACGACGTGTTTGACGACTTCGGAAGAGAAAAAAGTCGGGTCTTTCAAGCGCAATTTTTTTTTTTAGAACATAATATTTTACACTTCTCTCCAAAATATTGACTAGCTGATGCAAGGCATTTTCAAATCGAAATAATTATCATATCTCTTAGATAGGGGACAAAAATATTTTGGATGCAAACTCCATTTTATCCTCATAATAATGTTTCATTGTTCGCTGTCCCATTTAATTGATGGTGTTGTATCATCCTAAATATTCTAGTTTTGCGAAAAACGTCTGTAACTTTTGTTTTCAGCATATCAAAGACTATTATAAGGACTTTGAAACGCATCAAATTTTTTTACCGGAACCATCATATGTCAGGAAAACCCAAGCATGAAGCAAACCATACTTTAATCAACGTCACGACGTGTTTCACGACTTCGGAAGAGAAAAGATTCGGGTCTTTCACGCGCAATTTATTTTTTTAGAATATATTATTTTCCATTTCTCTCCACGATATTGACTAACTGATGCAAGGCATTTTCAAATCGAAAAAATATCATATCTCTTAGATAGGGGACAAACATATTTTGGATGCAAACTCCATTTTATCCTGATAACTAGAAATACATTGCATGCAGTGACCCCTCGCCGGACCTTAATGCAACAACATCATTTCCGAAACAGTGTAAAAATCATATTATATTTAACAAAATAAAGTATTTACAATAAAATATAACAATTTAAAACAGAACAAATTTAATATTTACATAACAGTTAAAATAACAAACTCGCAATATTTGGCTACGTTGACATACCGTGATTTCTCATCGGGTAGTCAAATTGTTGAGAACGATATTAAGATTGAAAACATTATTGGCTCATTTTTCACATGCTGATATCTCATTAATTGTTTGATTGAATCGCCTTTTAACCCGTAATGTTAATTTTGCTTGTGTATAGAATGCGTGATGTTGAACGTTAAAAATCAATGATGGTATAGAGATTATATATCAACGTAGCCTAGTCTGCACGTTTGAGAAGTTTAAGCACTAAACTTCTCAAACGTGCAGTTTGTAAATTGCTTTGAGGGCTTTTGCTGCCCTCGTTTTTGTGTTGTGCGCCCAGTCTGCAGCTGGGGGCACACAACCCTTGTGTGGCCCCGATTGCCACACAACCAACAAACAGCCCCTATAAAAAAAAAGTCACTATAAGAAAAGAAAAGTCATTATATATATTATTTTCATACATTGTGATGGCCAGCGGCGTCTTTAGCGATGTTTAAATATTTGATTAGACCTTCTGAATTCTTTCTGTCACACCGGGCTTGGTATGTTTAGCCCTAGAGTCAAGGTTATATGCTTACAACATCACACCACTTTGCAATTGTTCACGTGACTATACAATACATGGCAATCCATAAGGTATTAAATACATACGCGATTGGCAGGCGCGAGCACGATGGCCCCGCACGCCACACTTGTAGCAACGCCCTAAGGTGGAATATCAAGAAATGATTGGTCTTCTGGCTAACTAAATTCGAGAATTAACTGACCATTATCAATAAAACTTTATTAACCTGCGATATGTCCACGGAAACCTAAAAGAGAGGAGATGTTATTTTGAGCATCATTGCAATGTAACCATTATTGATCGAGTGTTATGTGTTTACATAGGTAATAACACTAATGAAATTATACAAATTAATACTTGGGAGCAAGCCTTTCCCCCGAAGAGCAGGGAGCGGATGATGTTCTGAAATGTACGTAACAAACTTGGTTGACACATCGCGTAAATTAGGATATTAAATTGATAACGAAAAATTTTTAAAAATTGGAAGCTATCTGGAAGCAAATGGTATACATTACATTTCAGCAAAATTAAATGATACAATAATACCTGGGGGCAAGCCTCTCCCTTGTGGTGCAGGGAGTGGATGATCTTCTGAAATGAAACAATAATACACAAATACATAGATATGATTTTCAATAATGAACAAAATACATAGATGTGATTTTCATGCATCCACCACAAGGACAACATTTTTACAAAATGGGGGGGGGGGGTTGTACGTAAAATTAAAGAAGGAAGGCAATTGGGTTGAGCTGGGTTGTGGTCTTTTAGCTCATTGGAAAATCTGTAACGGATAACAAAAATGTGAGGTTATATACCACAAATTATGTATATATATTTCTTTATATATGGCTAAGTCAATAATAATATTGTAAACTTGTGCATTGTTGATATAATTGTGGTGGCACAGGATTTACTGTGATAAAATGAGAGTATTTTAGTTGTGCAGGGGGAGCTACAGGATTGCTCACCTGGCCCATCCACTGCCACGGCAGGTTGCTCTGCTTCTCTTAGATCTATGGTGAAGGGAAATTTGTATATAAAATGTATTATACACTTTATTGTTGTGAGAAAAAATGAAAACAGTGCGACAAAGGAATTAGATTGATACTTTGAATATTTTTTATTTACCTTCATCACCCTCTGCATCAACTTCAATTTCTAAAATGCAAGAGGCAAAATCTTTAATCAATATTTAGTACTTTGCTAAATTTATACTACAATATGTGTATAAATATGGCCAGAGTATTATAAAGGCCACACTAAATTGATTTATGTCTTTGAGAATGAATTGTCATGTGCGAAAAGAAAAGGTTACCACAAATTATGTATTTCTTATATATGGCCAAGTGCCTATCTGTAAACATACCAAGTACTTCTTCTTCATTTTCCACTAAAATACATAGAAAAATCAGTAATAGTAAAAACGTTTACCATTACACTACAACCATGAGAAAAGTGGTTTGTAAACTGGTAGAAAAGAGGTTGAATCTTACTTTTTTCTCTCCTTGTAGATGATCTTATATGCTATCAACATAAAAATATATCGAGTAAACATATTTTAATACTATTTCAAAAGCACTATACGGTTAAAATACATTATATACTCGTGGCAAGCTTAAAATTCCTTCAATATAGCTACTGAAATGTTATTTTTGAGAAAAGAAATGTATTAAAATAGCAAACTTACATTTTTTTGTATAATATTTATGACTTTTGTAGCTGTAAAATATATAAAAAATACAATAGTTTCATTAGTTTATTGAGAAAAGTTAAACACAAAAGATAATACGCGTGGGCGTTGGAAAAACATGCCAATTTTAAAATGCAATAAAAAGGATACAGAAGTTTCTCCCTAAAATATCTGTGCGTAAATTGGTAAATCAAATTGTCGACTGTGGAGTAGTATATTATAATTTATTCGAGCGAACTTTGAAATGTTTAATATTTTATAAAGTTTTTTATTTTGAAAAAGACTTACCGCAATCCAAAAACAGCAGGATATCGGCAGGATATTTTCGCGCTCTTTTTGAAATTTATGTTATACGTGAATTTTGCGTATACTTTATTATTGTTACCAGGCAAATCGCGAAATATCCCCGCGCGATGGTATTGTGGTTTTCATTACATTGATTGTTATTGTAAATAGGTAACTTACCTGATTGATATAGTGTACATGTCAACAGCCACCCTCAAAAGCATAATACCTGATATCATGTCTAGTAACAGGAAATATGACACATGTACAGTACATTGCCATCCTCAAAAACAAAATTATAGAGGCAAAGTTGTAATAAGACATACAAACTTCACTTCTAAAATTGTGTCTAGTAGCAGGCGACTATGATTTCCTCGAAAGCACATTGGTGCCCAGTATCATTAAACAAAATGATATAACAACTTACCATACAATCCATATCTTTATATGCATATATTCAATGCTTATGCCTCTGCTCAGTCTTTTCTGCAAGCACACGAAGTCGTCGTTCCGCTTCTTGTCGCTTCTTCAAATTTTTATTCCTACCAATGACTTTCAGACGATCAAATGTCATAGGTTCAAACACAATATCATTAATTGATCTTACCCTAGATGCTGCCACAAATGTGCAGCCAGCAACTCTCTCCCCTTTACCTAAATCAACAACAGCCTTGGTTAGTGTCTGTCCTTGGGACTTGTGTATCGTCATTGCATACCTCAGCCGCAAGGGCAATTGTTGTCTTGACAAATACTTTCCATCCGCCATCCACTCAAACAGTCTTGGAGGCACAGGTATACACTTTGAACATTCTTGTAGAAATGCAGGGCCAGAATATGCTGGAAAATGAACCAGTACTGCAATCGGTAGATTTGGTGGACCCATATTCTCTGCAAACCAAAATTGCTCAACAGTTCCAAAAGAGCCATTGCAAAGACCGACTTCTGCCCAAAGGTTACATGTCAGCATCACTTCTGCTTTGGTTGACAAAAAGAGGACAGCTTCCAAACCACCTGCTTCATCAGATGTTGCCGCACTTGCACCTCGACCAGAATGCCTTGCTTGAATTTTGACCAAGGGTTGTCCAATCTCTAGCAACTTCTCATAATTATATTCAGCGACACTTTTTTTATCAAAGTACAGCCGGATTGCATCACTAAATCGATCCATTGAAACGTTAGGTCTGGAGTGCTGTATTAATAGTCTCCAGTCCATCTCGGTAACTTGTCCATCTCTCATTCTCATCAATAGCGCCCTGAATGCAACTACTTCTGGGTCTTCACCAATCTGTCGCATGACCTGCTCTAAAATGACTACATAATCAAATGTTAAATACATACTGTGACCATGGTCACTGATTACAGATCCATTACCTGCAATGTACATTGGTTTATCGCCTACAGGAGGTAACTGGCCGAAATCCCCCATTAGGATAATCGACATCCCACCAAATGGGATATCCTCTTTTCCTGTACCTGCACGTAGTCTGTTGTCAAGCCATGAAAGCATCTGATGTCCAATCATTGACATTTCATCAATAAAGAAACCTCTTACCTTCCAATCTGAGCTGCAATCTCTGTAAGGAATCGCCCTGTAATTCTCTGTATTCCCGAATCGGAAGTTGAGCTGCGGAATCAAAGTTTGACCACCAATACTGAATGCAGCAATTCCGGTGGTTGCTGTGACAATACATTGGTGTTGCAATACTTGCTTTAGGGCACTAATTAAATATGTCTTACCTGTGCCAGCAGTACCACTTACAATCATATGTAGTGGTTCACATTCATCATTAGCCATGGATGCAGTGATAATGTCAAATGCCAGTCGCTGTTTGTCATTCAAGGTCCCTGGGTCAACCACCACTTGTTGGTCACCTGTTTGATACTGCATACCTTGCTCCTCTGCATCCTTTCTCTGTTTAGAAATCCACCCAGCAGATTCTCTCAACAAATCCCCAGGCACACCTCTTGCTGCTTCGAACCAATCCACTGCCTCGTTATTTGCCATTTGATCTCCTGCATCCTCATAATGTTGGTTGAGTCTACATAACAACATCCAATCCTCAATTTGCTCTTCCTCATTAGGTTGATCCTGTTCGTCATCGCTTTCATCACTACTTTCATCAGTTCCATATGTTTCATCTGTCTGTGCAGCATGGACCATCTCTGTTTCAATAGAATACCCAAATACATTGTCTCTAGCAAAATCTGTCTGAAGAAATGAAGCATATGTGTTAATAAACATATCATCAGTTTCCTCCATATTGTCCCATGCATTTGATGACTTATCTTCCCATGGTTTAAACTTAATGAGTTGATACTTGCAGTATTTTCCAAAGGTAGGGCTGCCAGGATTGGCTGTAAGCTTTGGAAATGTCCTGACAATATAAGGATTCACTCGTTTTGTCAACTCACCTCTGACTCTTGTGAACTGAGATGCATACTGCATCAAATTCAACTGAGATAACCCCCTATACCTACTCTCCACTTTTGTCCGCTCTCCATAATCTTGAAGAACAGAATTCTGAAGTACTTCCTCTTGTGGATTTTCTGCATCAAGGATCACTTTTCTACTGTTTTCTAAAGAAACAGTAACAAAACTATACGTACAGCCTACCAAAGGCAAACTGAGTAACATATGGGCAGTCTCCTGAGCAGCCATGTCCCTATCACCAGCAACTTGAATCATTGCTTTCTTGATTGCAGAAGACACTTGGTCATCATTCTGTAATGAAGATACAGACAACTTCAGTATGTCAGAAGCAGATTTTGATCGTGGTTCCCCTTTCGCTGCATACTTGGCCATGTATCTTGCACATGCCTTTTCATCTACAATTACCTGCAAATCCACATTGGCCCGCCAATTCTCAAGCATGACCCTGTTGTGTGAATTCAGCCTCTCATCATTTCTCTTGGTTTGCAACTCTGAGTGTACAGATTTATTTTTCTTACCTCGAACCTCATAAATCAGTGCAGTCTCCTCTTGTAATGGTTTTGGGAACCCAAATCTGCACTCTGCAGGCAGGTCAACCCTCTTCTTTTTCAGGCAATACGCTGGACTGCATCTGGTGTGCCTCTCTACTGAATTTACTAACCTGTGATAATCAACATCATGATTATCAACTGATGTTGCTTTCACAGCAGAAGGGTGTGGATCTGGTAGTGTCCAGTTCTCATCAGGCAGATCATCATTAACTGTGGTCACAAGCCAGTCAACGTAACTTTAAAAGAAATAAAAATAACATGGTTATAACACCTAATTTATATATATTTTTCCATAATTGTAAATACTTTGCTGTTTACACTCTCAATTCCTTAGCATTAGGAAATATCAGTTTCTAAAGAAAATATACGGAATTTTGTTTTTTTTGAATGTATGTGGAAGCTGTATTTAGCAAAATTTGCAACATTGTAGCACATAGTAGGCTAAAACTAAAAGTCTGGGGAAAATGTTTTTTAAGTTTTCTACAGCACATACAAAGAATTTCTAATAATGCACATGCAGCTTATACCGTGGACACAATTTGCGTATTTATGTGGTGAGTGTAAATCATTTATAATACTTAAGATATACATACAAACCTTACCTAATTAGCTTTCTCTCCGCATCTTCACCCTCTCTGACAATTTCCTGGCAAGAGAATTCAAAATCGTCAGGGGACATTTCATTTTCTTTCTCTTTCTCAAGCACTGCTTGGCATGCACGTTTACGTAATAATCGAATATCTGGATCATTCTTTAATTTAGCACATCCATGAGCATGTATACTTCCTCTGGCCTGGTATTCAAACCTATACCAAAACCATTCAGCATCCAAGACACCTTCAAGCCAATGTTTGATGAACTTCTGTAGCCTTTGCATGAAAAACCAATCTGTCAGGTGTGGATTGTCTATCACTGCTTGTGCTCTTTCTGTTCTTGATGCCCCCTCGTTACTTTGCAATAGTCTTTGCAAGTCTGGCCACTACAAAAGGTAAAGAAAAAGGTAGGGCAACCTTTTTGTTCAATCAGGGCTAACAGTTCTTGCAGTCTCTGATACCAATACTGATTTGTACCCTGAATTTTTGAAACATAACGTTGCAAACGATTTACCATTTGATTTGCACCCATAGAGTTTACCATTGTTTTCAGCTCCTCCATAGTCATGTTTGCATCCGCTGGATGTTGCCGCAAGTAAATGTTAGCTTGTGACAACAACTGATGTCTCTGCTTCATATTCAACGCCCAGTATGGGAACCGGGGATGTGAGGCAAACCTCCATTCAAACTTACCATTTGGCAGCCTCTCTGCAAACTTCATCAGGTGTTTGAATGCCTCTGCCAAACTTTCCTCATGCTGCCTGACTCTGTTTGTTGGGTCACCTTTCCCATGGGGAAATAGTGTTGGAAATGCCATGCTTGCCAAACCATCTGTTTTAAACTCATTAACAGCATTACCTTCAGTTGAGGGCCAGTCTAAAGGGTCAACCTCATTCACTGCATCTTGAATAGCTGCACCATCCTTTCTTTGTCTTTGCCCGCATAGGAATAAATGATGTACTGCCATTTCCTAAAACTAATTCTTCAACTGTTGCATTAGCACTCATTACAGGTTCTTGTGGGGGGCCCTCATTTTCAACATGAACTGGAAGTTCATTGTCATCAATAATATACCTTAGCTCTTCAGGGACACCATTTTCAGGTAGACTTTGGATAATATCCCTGTCAATCTCAATATCTTTGAAAAATGGATTGTTTGTTTTCAACCACAATATAGCTTCAAACACCCTGTGTCGACGAACTGTAAAATCTTTATGTGTTTCATCAGCACCCTGCCTTCGCACAATCATAACAGGCAAGTCAGCCACTTGTGCAGGCAACCTATTCAAAAACTTTGAATATCCTGTGGTAAGTTTAGCACATGACCTTTGTAGCCCCTTTGCCCACCATGTTTTCTGTAGACTTGCATGATGGGGCAAACCCTTGAAATCAGCATTTCCTCTACCTGTGTCAAACCTCTCAATTGCTCTGGAACAGTACCTGGGTCCATGTCATTGCCAGCACTGAAATTCTTTGGTGATTTCTTGTCTCTTTGACACCGGTAGCAAACAAAGGGATCTGCTGCCAAGTTTTGCCTTGTTGGCCAAGCCTCTTTACAAATTGTACACTGGCGATGCTCTAAATGCTCTTGATCTAAATGAAAACTGCGCATCTCATCCTGAACAAATGCCTGCTCATGCAATTGGTTGTCAACATTTTGCCAGCCACCTTCATGTAAATATTGGTCTGAACTACTGGTGAGGACCTCATTTCTAGCTACTGTTATTGTGTTTTCATTGCTTACCTTCAGAATTTTGTGGCGGTACCTGTTGCATTTCATTACTATTACCTGTCTCCAAAAGACTTACCGCTCGTTGTCTCATTCTTTCAAGTCTTATTTGTCTTTTTCCCTTACTTTCACGTTGCCTTCTTTCTCTGGCATTAGCTCTATTATGTTCTCTTTGCATCTCCCGTTTCTCCTCAGTACTTTCGTCGGTTCTTCGTCTGTAAGCAGCTCTTCGCATCCTAAGACGACGTTCTTTTTGTGTTGGCGTTTCTTGCAGCATCTTTTGTCGCCTTTCAGCTCTTAGCTCATTACCTTTTTTTCTTGTACTTGTTTCAGCTCTTCTTTTATAGGCATCCCTCTTCTTTGCCAGCCGATACTGTCTTTCCTCCGGTGTTTCACCAACTAACACAGCTCGTCTTTTTTCCCTCTGTGTTGCACGGCTATCCTCATACGTTTCTCCCTTATTTTTCGTCTCCTGCTTTCTAATGCGGTTATTGTCCGACATTTCCGTAGAAATTATCTTTCAGTGTTGTTTTTTTTCAAATATAAAGCAATTGTTCACAATACTGTAAAGGTCTTTGTAATTTGCTTTTGTGAAAGAAATTAAATTCAAATTATAATGACAGTTAATTTACTCACGTAATTTTGTTTAAAAAAATTTAGGCCTTAGCCAATCATAAGCTAGTTAGTTACCAGCTCAAACTCGTCTTAAACTCACGCATGCGCATAACTTACAAAAACGCCCAACGTCCATGACATAATAGCGGACAACTTTCATTTCGCATTTCCATTCCCGGGCGTAATTCCTAATCTTTGCACCGGCTCGGGGATAATGTTTCATTGTTCGCTGTCCCATTTAATTGATGGTGTGGTATCATCCTAAATATTCTAGTTTTGCGAAAAGCATCTGTAACTTTTGTTTTCAGCATATCAAAGACGATTATAAGGACTTTGAAACGCATCAAAATTTTTTACCGTAACCATCATATGTCAGGAAAACCCAAGCATGAAGCAAACCATACTTTAATCAACGTCACGACGTGTTTCACGACTTCGGAAGAGAAAAGAGTCGGGTCTTTCACGCGCAATTTATTTTTTTAGAACATAATATTTTCCATTTCTCTCCACGATATTGACTAACTGATGCAAGGCATTTTCAAATCGAAAAATTATCTTATCTCTTAGATAGGGGACAAAATATTTTGGATGCAAACTCCATTTTATCCTGATAATAATGTTTCATTGTTCGCTGTCCCATTTATATGATGGTGTTGTATCATCCTAAATATTCTAGTTTTGCGAAAAGCATCAGTAGCTTTTGTTTTCAGCATATCAAAGACGATTATACGGACATTGAAACGCATCAAAATGTTTTACCGGAACCATCATATGTCAGGAAAACCCAAACATGAAGCTAACCATGCTTTAATCAACGTCACGACGTGTTTGACGACTTCGGAAGAGAAAAAAGTCGCATCTTTCAAGCGCAATTTATTTTTTTAGAACATAATATTTTCCATTTCTCTCCACGATATTGACTAGCTGATGCAAGGCATTTTCAAATCGAAATAAATATCATATCTCTTAGATAGGGGACAAAAATATTTTGGATGCAAACTCCATTTTATCCTCATAATAATGTTTCATTGTTCGCTGTCCCATTTAATTGATGGTAATGTATCATGCTAAATATTCTAGTTTTGCGAAAAGCATCTGTAACTTTTGTTTTCAGCATATCAAAGACGATTATACGGACTTTGAAACGCATCAAAATGTTTTACCGGAACCATCATATGTCAGGAAAACCCAAACATGAAGCTAACCATGCTTTACTCAACGTCACGACGTGTTTGAGGACTTCGGAAGAGAAAGGAGTCGGGTCTTTCAAGCGCCATTTTTTTTTTTTAGAACATAATATTTTCCATTTCTCTCCACGATATTGACTAACTGATGCAAGGCATTTTCAAATCGAAATAAATATCATATCTCTTAGATAGGGGACAAAAATATTTTGGATGCAAACTCCATTTTATCCTCATAATAATGTTTCATTGTTCGCTGTCCCATTTAATTGATGGTGTTGTATCATCCTAAATATTCTAGTTTTGCGAAAAGCATCTGTAACTTTTGTTTTCAGCATATCAAAGACGATTATACGGACTTTGAAACGCATCAAAATGTTTTACCGGAACCATCATATGTCAGGAAAACCCAAGCATGAAGAAAACCATGCTTTAATCAACGCCACGACGTGTTTGACGACTTTGGAAGAGAAAAAAGTCGCGTCTTTTAAACGCAATTTATTTTTTTAGAACATAATCTTTTTTATTTGTCTCCACGATATTGACTAGCTGATGCAAAGCATTTTTAAATCGAAATAAATATCATATTTCTTAGATAGGGGACAAAAATATTTTGGATGCAAACTCCATTTTATCCTCATAATAATGTTTCATTGTTCGCTGTCCCATTTAATTGATGGTGTTGTATCATCCTAAATATTCTAGTTTTGCGAAAAGCATCTGTAGCTTTTGTTTTCAGCATATCAAAAACGATTATACGGACATTGAAACGCATCAAAATGTTTTACCGGAACCATCATATGTCAGGAAAACCCAAGCATAGCATATCAAAGACGATTATACGGACTTTGAAACGCATCAAAATGTTTGACCGTAACCATCATATGTCAGGAAAACCCAAGCATGAAGCAAACCATGCTTTAATCAACGTCACGACGTGTTTTACGACTTCGGAAGAGAAAAGAGTCGGGTGTTTCAAGCGCAATTTATTTTTTTAGAACATAATATTTTCCATTTCTCTCCAGGATATTGACTAACTGATGCAAGGCATTTTCAAATCGAAAAAATATCATATCTCTTAGTTAGGGGACAAAAATATTTTGGATGGAAACTCCATTTTATCCTAATAAAAATGTTTCATTGTTTGCTGTCCCATTTAATTGATGGTGTCGTATCATCCTAAATATTCTAGTTTTGCGAAAAGCATCTGTAACTTTTGTTTTTAGCATATCAAAGACGACTATACGGACTTTGAAATGCATCAAAATGTTTTGCTGGAACCATCATAGGTCAGGAAAACCAAAGCAGGAAGCAAACCATGCTTTAATCAACGTCTCGACGTGTTTTACGACTTCGGAAGAGAAAAGAGTCGGGTCTTTCAAGCGCAATATATTTTTTTAGAACATAATATTTTCCATTTCTCTCCACGATATTGACTAACTGATGCAAGAAATTTTCAAATCGAAAAAATATCATATCTCTTAGATAGGGGACAAACATATTTTGGATGCAAACTCCATTTTATCCTGATAATAATGTTTCATTGTTCGCTGTCCCATTTAATTGATGGTGTGGTATCATCCTAAATATTCTAGTTTTGCGAGAAGCATCTGTAACTTTTGTTTTCAGCATATCAAAGACAATTATAAGGACTTTGAAACGCATCAAAGTTTTTTACCGGAACCATCATATGGCAGAAAAACCCAAGCATGAAGCAAACCATACTTTAATCAACGTCACGACGTGTTTCACGACTTTGGAAGAGGAAAGAGTCGGGTCTTTCACGCGCAATTTATTTTTTTAGAACATAATATTTTCCATTTCTCTCCACGATATTGACTAACTGATGCAAGGCATTTTCAAATCGAAAAAATATCATATCTCTTAGATAGGGACAAAAATTTTGGATGCAAACTCCATTTTATCCTGATAATAATGTTTCATTGTTCGCTGTCCCATTTAATTGATAGTGTTTTATCATCCTAAATATTCTAGTTTTGCGAAAAGCATTCGTAACTTTTGTTTTCAGCATATCAAAGACGATTATACGGACTTTGAAACGCATCAAAATGTTTTACCGGAACCATCATATGTCAGGAAAACCCAAGCATGAAGCAAACCATGCTTTAATCAACGTCACGACGTGTTTTACGACTTCGGAAGAGAAAAGAGTCGGGTCTTTCAAGCGCAATTTTTTTTTTAGAACATAATATTTTCCATTTCTCTCCACGATATTGATTAACTGATGCAAGGCATTTTCAAATCGAAAAAATATCATATCTCTTAGATAGGGGACAAATATATTTTGGATGCAAACTCCGTTTTATCTGAAATAATGTTTCATTGTTCGCTGTCCCATTTAATTGATGGTGTTGTATCATCCTAAATATTTAGTTTGCGAAAAG